ATCCACAGTATATCGAAAAACCACTGGAACCACTGGGGCAGCTTTGTACCTGATACTGTATAGGAATACCATGGAATACCGATGTACCATGAAATGGGATGGGATAGTGATATCTATAAAGCATGCCTTAGATGAACCTTAGCTAATTAAGCCACACCCTCCTTTGCACCTTGCCTGGGCCAAGTGTGAAGACGCTGATGGAACAGGGTTTCAACACGTTTGCCGTCTCCCCACCTGGTAAAGGTGTTGGGAATAGGCCAAAAAGCGGCTGTTTTCCCCACAGTGTCCATGTTCAATTGGAAATGAACCATTTTGGACTACTCTTGGGGTCGCCCATTTCAAGAACTTGCCGTTTATGCTGGCGAGTTTTTAAGGGTGTCATGTATGCACCGGCCAAGCAGATAAAAACCAATGAGCACCAAGTTCAGGACCTTGCAAAGTTGATGTTTTTTTAAGTGTTATGTTTGTTATGTTGGTGGTTGTAATGTATTTTTTTCATTTTTCATGTTTTTTCATGGTTTCCGGTGCCCATTGCAACGGTTAAAGAAGCGCCAACTTCTGTAGGTCATGAGTTGGTTTGGCATCCCCTTCTGTGGCTACAGCTGTGAGTTGGGACCTGACGGGTCGGTGGTTGTGTATGTTTGCTATATATATATATATGAATATGAATATGCATATAATCATATATATATATATATGTATTACATGTAATTATATAGACAGAGGATAAAGCATCCATGAGAGTATCTATATAATATCTATATACTATAGCAAACCTATTAGGGTTAATATAATGGAGGAATATACTAACTCAACCAGCTTCTTTTTTGTTTTTTTGACGTATCTAAGATCTCTAAGGCTGGCCTAACGACAAGCTCTTGAAGTGACCACTGTAAAGTGAACCTATGTCGTCTTGTCTCACTATGTCTCACTATGATGTGATGAACATCCAGTCAACATCCGTGAAGGTGTATTTCCCTGAATGTATTCCATAAATATATATATATATACAGTACACACACAGAAACCCCTTCATTTATGAATTTCCCTTTTCCATTACCTGGATTCGTTTCGCTCTGGGTAGCGTCCCTTGGTCACCAGACTGTGTGGTCTAACGGCATGGAAAGATAGACAACCCAGCTGAAACAGCAATGTTTTTTGCAGGGTATCTATCGATGATTGGTCTTTACAGAATGGCAATACCAAGTGATACCACCCAAATTTATGCCAATTTGATGTTTGATTATGTTTGATCATCATATTGACCAGAAAACGAACACACTTTGGAATGTCATGGAGTATCCATCATTTCTGAAGCCCAACCCAGACATATGGGACCCATGTCGCGTTCCCGCATTCCCGGCGTCGCCGTGAATTGAGGTTTTCACCCTTTCGGGGCAACTTGCTGGCTGTTGGTACTGGACAGCAGGGTCTTCCCAGTGGGGCAGACCACGGCAGACACGTGGCTGACACGGTGAGGTTCATTGTCATAGGATCCATGGTGCTGGTATATATATATATACTAACATTGGGGGTATATTGATGGTAAATGTTACCATATTTAGCATACATGGATCCCATGGGTCATGAAATGTTCGCCTAATGTTCGCCTTTCGGCTTTCGTCGGGCATATGATTTTCACATATTTTCACATATGTTCAGATATTTTCACCAAAAGTCGGGAACGAACATTGGGTTCAACCAGCAGTCAGACTGCCATGAATTGGATTCGTAACGTTTCAAACATGGGAGTGGGTAACTGTGTAACAAGATAAGGGTGAGATCAGCGGTAATTGATAAGAATAAAACCAATGAAACTGGCTGGCTTCATACTTTGGTCCATCCTACAGGCAACAGCAATGCAGTGACTGTAGATGATGGTCCCCCAGTGGCTTGGGATACACCCCACTAACTCATTTGCTAATTTGAATGATCATGCCATGCCCGGCCACCAGAATCTTGATGCGAGGCTGGATTTTGTGTTGAAGTTCACTTGGCTAAGACAGAGGTTTTCGTTTTGGAAGTTTTGGATAAAGGAATATGCCCAGCTAAAGTTAATGCCACTTCTGGATACTTATGGCATGATTGTTGAACATGAAGCACTTGGAATCGCTTGGACTTGGTCTGACATCTTGCGATGTATGCAGGGTATCTGTCCGAAGGGTATGATTCATCTCCCGACTCTCCGGGAGTTGAAAGCGTCATGTGTCGGTCGTGAGGGACGGTTGCACGGATGCTGTATACGCTGCATTGGATCTACAGCAACGCTTGGGAACAGTGACTCTTCACAGTGACATATCCGTTATGGGGATTTTGCTTCCTCGGTTTTGAAGCTCATCACCTGCAGGGTTCGCCTGGTCCCCATTTCTAATTCGAAGTTCATCCATATAGCCATATAGCTTTCCCATAACTTTCCCGTAGTCTTCCTATAGATTTCCCCCTGGTTTTCCCTTAGCTTTCCCTCAAAACTTCAGGTATTTTGGCATCGTTGGCAATGGCAAGCTACACGTCTTGGACATTGCCGCAGGAGTGCTGGTATGTGCTGGTGAAAGTTGCAAGATGAGCCATTAAAAATACAATTTTGACACAATATGGTATTGATTATTGTAGATTATTAATCTAGATTATGGTATGTTTATAGATGGTTATGATAGATGATTTAGCAATGACATAGACAACTACATTTTGTTCATTGTTATTGTTTTATGTTTTATCATTTTTAGATGAGCCATTATGAACAATTATATATAAAGTTGATGATATTATAGATGATATAGATTACTCCAGTATGAGCCGTTATTCCATTATTATAACAAAGATCCCCCATGGTTGTCCGTTTACAGAATGCCACTCCTTTGGTGTTACAAAATGCACCCTCCAACCACCTTCTCATAAACGGAAAAAAAAATAAACTATTTATTTTGGGAATTCTTTTGTATGGCCGGGCATTTTACAAAAATCCTGCAGTCATGTATGGATGATAGATTATGCTAATTTGTTTTTAGTGTTGTGATACCCACAGGTTGCATTTTGTAAATAAAAAAGGGTATATACCATGTTCAGTGGTATTTTCCATTATTTTGACCGGCCGGGCATTTTGTAAATGGGAGCTTGGAGCATTTTATAGTGGTGTTTGTCGCAAGTCCCAAAAATGAACCTTGGCAGTACACAAACGGAAAAAATGGTAAAACATGTTGTCGGGATGCTTTCAGTTTTTGGACGTGTTGGCATTTCATAAAAACCTCAAGTTTTTATATTATACTATATCTGCATTTTATATTGCGGCAATATGTTTTTCGTCGGGCCACCCATTTTATAAACACAGATGCATATCATTTATGAAGTGACCAGCTAGGGGTAGGTACCCATCAAGCAAGGGGGATTAACAAAGATGAATTTGCAGACGAATCAAAACAAAGTTAACATAACTATAGGTTGGTTGGCTTATTATGTTGATTGAGCAATGACACAACTATGTTGTTATCTTTGTTAACAATGAGCCATGAAATGTTGGTTGCTTATTATGTTGATGAATCACATAATTATTCCATTGACTGGAACTTTTTCTAGATTTTGGTTTTTCTGAAACTAGGTCGTTATATAACCAGGAAAGCCATAGCTTACAACCAAAAAAACTAATGATATCTTATCTAGGTCAATCTTACATGGATACTTTAATCCTTTGGTCTTTTGGTATCAATGGGAAAAGCTACTAACCAGCAAAGATTTTTTTTGCAGTTTATCTAAGATGGTCAATGTTGTGATTATATTTATATATATATATATACAATATTATGAAATTATCAATGGTTATAATCTGATATAATTGGTTGTCAAATCATCAGTTTCCATGCAAATCTATGCAGTTTTGAGGGGTCCGACCATCTCATAATCAATCTCATCCAAAAGTACCACCAACTTCAACAGGAGGCCAACCAGTCAGCGCCTCAATTCGGGCTGGTGAAGGCGTTTTCGTCATCTTCCATAGATTTGCTGATGGAAAAAAGGATAAAACGCCATCAAACATGGTGATTTCACCACTCAAAGTTGGGATTAGATTTGATTTCATCACCAAATCCGATGAATTTGATGGGTTGATTTGAGGCAAAAAATGAGGTTTCTGAAACCATGTTCCCCATGATTTCCCATGACTTCCCTAGGAAGTCTCTGGTCGCTTAGCGTATCATATATCGTAAATGACATGATTACAAGGATTCTATTATCAATCTATGTAAATCTGGCATTGTGTATGATTTCAAATATGTTCAAATGATTGACAATCATTTGTAAAATGACATTGTAATCTACTGAAATATTACAATGAATTCTATGTGGATTACAAATTACCTATACTGAGTACATTGTAATGCAATGTAATATGGTGGTTTTAAACATATTACAATGAAGTTCACCAACTACTGTTAATCCGTGTCCAGCTTGCGATACCACTTCTTCGGCGAGTGGGCCATCCACGACTTTGCAGAAACTTCCAATGTAAGCGCCACCCAGCAATGGTCAGAGAAAGCCCAGACTGTTACAGTTCACAAAGCTCGCAAGGTCCCACATTTACCAACGAATTTGTCTTATTCTTGATTGTCCATGCACATCTATTTAATGTGATGAACCCGCCTATCTACGAGTTACTGTTTGGGTCGCAATCAGAATCATGGTCCATGCCCTAAAAATATCCCACGATATACGTGCCCCATCCAACCTGCCTCATGGTCTACAACAAGACACTTCAAGGGTGAACGAGCCATCAAAACTGCAGAGTTTATCTTTGGGAGTTGTTCAATCGCTGGGCTACATCCTCTTTGAAGTGGGTTACAATGGACATCAATAGACAATGGGGAATACCCCACGTAGTAATATATCATGTTATAATCTATATTTGGATATATTTGGTTGTAACCCATCTATTAACATTAGCTAACCTAATAGAATTAGTGAACCACTTGGTTCGCAACCCACAATGAAGCTCTTCGCGAAGTCGTCCCGAGGTCTGCGAATGGATGACCAACCAAGCGGTCTACGACGTAGCATGGAGTGAGGCGAGGAATCGTGGCATGGAACAATCCTTAGACAGTTATGATGGTTAGTAACCCCGAATTCTAAGTGGTTAGTAATGAAATTCTACATGGCATAATCACCACCATGGCCAGAAATACCAAATCAATAAGTGGTTGGTAATGGTGATTAGTGGAGGTGAATAGTGGTTAACAATGGTTGATAGTGGCTAAACATGTGATGAACGATAGTTATAACTGCATGGTTATGTCAATGGAATTCAAAAAAACAAAACGCAAATTTAAATGGGGTTTTGTTAGTACTTATACCTGCTATTTCGGGCCATAAGTGTACCCTCCGGTAAACTAACATGGCTATAAACAATGGCCCATTTAGTTCGTTGATTTACCAATGAAACATGTTTCTCCATAGTTTTTTGTATGTTTACCAGAGGGTATAGCAGGTGATTGTGGTTGATGTGTTGAACTTCCAACTTTGGTGAAAGTGACGGATTTTTCTTTTGTTACATGTTTCGTTGTTGATGTTGTTGGCAATGGATCATTTTCCCAGCTATAAACTTCATTTAGTTCGGTGATTTCCCAGTGCCACGCTTGATTACCAGAAGTTAAAACTTTAAACACTTAATCTTCCATTAACATTCTATGATATCCCGTTCATACTCCATGATAATCCCATACTTTCACTAAGTCATCGATCAGACGATTCGCTTTGCCCGGCTAGCACCAGGCCAATGAGCACGTGATTTTGACGGGCCAAGCCGATGGCTCCGTGAAACTCTTCGTCCCTTGGTGGTGGGAACCTCTTTATTTGAGGGCTGGTGGATGTTGGATTCCCAAAATGAATGGAAAGGATAGGGTTTGACTCATTCTCATATCAGATAGTTTTATGGTAGTAATGAAAGTTATGATGAGAAGGAGGACAATACATAGTAAATCAACATGATAATCATGAATCCAAATATGGCATAATCATGAACAATCCAAATACGGAATTCATAATCATTACATATTGATATCATAATAATGATGGCAATGAATAGCTGTATAACAAGAATCCAAATGGTTGCAGTGACCGGGCCCTCATGAGGCCGATGCCCTGAAAACTTGCTGACGACCGAGCCCGTCGTGACGTTGCAACGGAATGATGTTGTTGTTTTGTGTGTGTGTGCGAAGAATCATCCCCATATGGCTGGCCTTTATGGAATCCCAGCGTTTCTAGTATACTCATTTAGAATGTATTTGTTTCCAGATGTGTTTCAAAAAAATCACCAACTGTTTTTTGTGTTTGAAACCATCAAATAGACTCCCCATTACTCATCGCCCAAAAGGGATGATGACTTTTTGACTATAAATTATTTGGTGCTAAAAAATGATACCCCGAATTCATCATCATCATCACCATCATTATCATCATCATCATCATCGTGTTACTTTATCTCACTACATCCCATGAAAAACAACTGACTATGTATATATATATATTGTGTGTTTTATTGATTTTCCATAAGTCGGCATCCCCCAACCCACAAGCGAAACCATGGCTGCAGCGCAGCTGGCCAAGGATTGGACTAATCCCCATGGTCCCATTATGTCTTTGGAGGAGCACACGGCCGAGGTCCGTGGGCCCCGGGGGCGGGTGGTCCATGTCCATGTGGTATGACTTGGGAATGTTGGTTAACGCATGGATAGGGAGTGATATCAATATATGGCTGGTTGGTGGTATGGAACATGAATTTTATTTTCCCCAATAGTTGGGATGATGATCCAATCTGACGAACTCATATTTTTTCAGGGGGTAGGTATAAAATGGGGGTACCCCCAAATGGTTGGTTTATACAAGTTTATATATACTGAAAAAACCATCTATAAATGGATGATTTGGGGGTACCCCTAGCCGTATTTCTTTTATTATTTACAGAAGAATAGATAATCTATTATCATTAATCTATGTACATAAACAATATATAAATAAATGTGATATACTATTTCAACTGTACAATATGCTTTACAAGTAAATAGTTGTAGTCTAGTTAACGATATCGCATTGACAATGGTGCTGACCATCCCACCCTTTTCGAGTGGGACGATAGTAACTGGGCTGAAAAACGTGGGATAACCCCGGTAACTGATTATTAACCAGGGTTATTAACTGTTTACTTCGCAAGGTATGAGCGACTTATGTTTTTTTTTTAAATGGTTCCACTGAGCTAAGGTAGCAATGATTACTTCGTTAATTACTTCGCTGACTGGCCGGACCTTGGAAATATGCCGCCAGGTCTATGGTGTCGATTGGAATCTGAACGAGAAGCACCTGGCAGGAATACCCAGTGGATGTAAGTGGTGAGAAACCATGCATAACTGGACAAATATCCCATAAATGGGGTAGAATATAGAATATATTGTATAAATAAATATATATATATATGCACTTACAAATGGAACTGCAGTCCCAAGTAAAACCAGACCTGGCTGGTGGCCCCAAGGGATTCATTTACGAAACAGCATGGGTTAATTGGATAGTATAGGGGAAAATACTACCCTATTATGGTGGTTTAGCTATCCGAGATATGGGGATATCATTGATAAATGATGGTTGATGACCAGTTTGCGGATTATACGAGCCTTTAGTGGGGATTGTCACGATCGAACTTGGAAATCCAAAAACAAAACAAGTCGGCTAGTAGAATCCGCAAACTGATCATGTTATAACTATCATTTATCATTCACAAGTTGGACGTTTACAAGTGTGGATGCACATGGATACACCACTGCAACTGCTTACACCACCGGCCCAGAGATCACGTTGGAAGAGTATGACATATTGGGATATAGTAAAGGTCATCCAAAACTTCCCAAATATCCCACTTCAATCCACTTCATATTGGAAGGTCATCCACATTCAGTTGCTAGGTGAAAGCTTCGAACAGCTTCGGAGGCTACTGAGTCTAAGCAATTTCCTCCGAAGTGACAAGCATATGGTTTTCACATTGGGGAACGTAGAGAAACTGATGGCTTTGGGGGCTCCTCAATTGTAAGAGACACCGTAATATGTGGCCCCACGATGATGCTGACGGATGAGTTTAACATGATTTGACCATATGAATGGCGACAACATGGCCCACTGCAAGATGTTGCACCATGTTGCACTTCCTTGAGGTTGAAGGACCATTGACATGACAAGTCCCCAAGTTGCCTAGAGTTGTGTTGCGTGCAGAAATCTGACCAGCGTTTCTCGTCTCTAAGGGGCTGAGCTACAGGTCTAAACCTAGGCCGTCTGTGGATCCGAACATGATGAGCTTGGAACTGTACCCCACCCAACTTACCCTCTAGTAAATTAACATAGACCCTGGCAGTTGTCGGGGTTGGAAGATTAGTTTCCACTAGAAAAGTGTTATTTTCAGGGTCGAACTGTTAATTTACCAGAGGGTAAACTTACTGGCGGTTAAGCGGGAATAAGGGAATACAAAAACTATGCCCCATGGCAAGTTCCAAGTGCTTGATGATGTGGTTCAATGTTTACACCAGTGTCTCCGGTTAAAAATATCCATTTGTGATGATGAGTTGGTTGGAGAATGGAATTGTACTATTATAATTATGACATGATCAAAATAAAAAATGAAAGGCCAGTTGCCTCAGTTAAATAAGGTCTAGACCAAATGTATTTAAATATGGGCTAATTAATAATATTAATAGATCAATTGTATCACATTATTGCCCTTAAAATTAATGGATCATGTTGCATTGCCCCATGCTGAAGAAGCATCATCACATGCATTGCCCCATGCTGCAGAAGCATAACATGCATTTTCCCATGCTGAAGAAGCATCATCACATGCATTGCCCCATGCTGCAGAAGCATAACATGCATTTTCCCATGCTGAAGAAGCATCACATGCACTGAAAATTGCCCAAATCAGATGCCAGTGAAGCATCCATGCTAAAGAAACAACCATTCTTGGAAACATCCATGCTGTTTTTTTTGGAATCTTTAATGATATTTTGGCCAGGATCAAAATTCATGGAAATTCGAACAGCCAAGATCAGTGTGCTAAGGTGGCACTGACGCATCTGTTCAGAATGAGGAAGATGCAAAAAGCGGCCAGCTAGCTGGCCACATGCCAGCTTGCTGGCAACTGAAACAACCCCAAAACGGCTAAGAGGCCAGCTAGTTGGCAAGAGTAAGACATAATATGAAACAAAATATGAAACAACAAACTGGCCAAACACCGTAAGGGTCTTTTGGCCAGTTTGTTGTCTATATTTTACATTTAATTTATTACAAGACATTGACTGGCCAGCTCACTTGCCAAAGGCCCTTTCTTTACATGCATGGCGACGGGTGATGCCCACAGTGAGTGTCAGTACACTGCTTCTTGGGCTCAATTTGATTTGCGTCAATTTCAATCGGAGCTCGAAGGGAGCCCTGACCATCGGCGAATGATCTTCCGCATGGCCTCTTCCAAGTCTATGCTTGAGAGCCACTTCTGAGTTGAGGCTGAAAAGAAGCGAAAATAGTTTGAAAAACGTCGGTCAAACAAAATCAAACCTCAGTCAGTGAACAGCAATAACATCCAAGCCGCGGAGTTGTTCCTCAAATAGTTGTACTTCGCCTTGAGAAGCTCCAGCGGCATCCTGTGCAAGAGGCGTTTTTGAACCATCATCGGGCATGGCGCTGGCTTCTCCTTGGCTCGCGTCCATTGTCCCATTTTGCTGGCTTGGATGGTTTTCGCAGTCACAGAAGGGGGCGGTGGTCGCATCATTCCCATGGATACAAATGAGGCTCTTGACAATGGACGACATTTGGCCTGGGAAATTTTGCGGCAGTCAAGTGTAAGTTTCAGTCAAGCCAGCTGGCAGCGCACATTTATGATCAGCCAGCAATCTGGCCATGCAAACAAACACTTTATCAGTCGCGGTGCTTCGCCATTGGAAGAACAAATTTGAAGGACCAGCAAGCTGGCCATTTCAACACCAGCAAGCTGGCCATTTCAGGACCAGCAAGCTAGCCAATTCAGGTTATCATTTCAAAATTTCAATCGGTGACAATCATTTTCACCATTTGATTCCAGGCACTGGTAGTCAGTCCATTCCTGACCAGCAGTGGTCTTACCACTGGTCGTTGCTAAAGAGGGTTGTGTTTCCAGACCTTCAAGTCTGTCTGGAAAAGGCCAAGCATGCACCACCCATAGATGTCGTCCGCAGATGCATACAGGACTGCCGTGAGCAACACGGATCTGCCGGCGGAGTCCCACACCTCAACTCATCGATGATATTGTTTCGCAAGTTGACCTGGATAAAAACCAAAGCTCATTGTGTACATAGAGTGGACATTTGATGATATCAGTTACTATTTTTTAAGTTTGAAGGCAAGAAACGCCACGGAAAAAACCTTCTTCAACGTAGGCAACATCTCGAAGATCATGGATGTGCACAGTGCCACCCGCTTGTACTGCCTCAGAAAAAATGTTCAAAATCAATGGCAAAAAACTGCCTGGGCACGGAACCATGTTCTAAATGCAAACTGATAGTACCATCATCAACCAGCAAGCTGAAACAACCAAACAGTTTCAACCAGCAAGCTGGTCCAATCATCAACCAGCAAGCCGGTCCAATCAACTAGCAAGCTGGTTCAATCATCAACCAGCAAGCTGGTCCAATCATCAACTAGCAAGCTGGTTCAATCATCAACCAGCAAGCTGGTCCAATCATCAACTAGCAAGCTGGTTCAATCATCAACCAGCAAGCTGGCTGGGTCAATCATCAACCAGCAAGCTGGTCCAATCATCAACCAGCAAGCTGGTCCAATCATCAACTAAGCTGGTTCAATCATCAACCAGCAAGCTCGCTGGGTCAATCATCAACCAGCAAGCTGGTCCAATCATCAACCAGCAGCTGGTCCAATCATCAACCAGCAAGCTGGTTCAAAGCTGGACTACTTTACTTGAATCGAACAAGTTGCAACAGCACATCTTCCGATTCACCATTGGTGATGGCATCCTTCAGGGCGAACAAGTAGGTATGCTCTGGCTCTTCAGGGGCGACTCGGCGCAGGTTGCCCTTCGACACCGAGAGGTCTTCCGCAACAGCAATGACAGTCGGGCGGTCAAAGAGAGCCGGTCCGTCTTTGAAGATCTTGGACTGCAGCCTTTTGACGGAATCCCTGTTGATTGGCACCTTTGGCGCTGCGCTCCACTAAGACCTCAAAGTGAAGATCTTTTTACTTTAGGCACTTAATGAAGATATTAGTAGTTATATGAACTTATCATAGAAGTGATTTTTACCTATTTTCACTGATTTTCACTTATTTTGCTTACTTTTTTACGTTTTTTTTTTTATGAGACTAGCATTGATTATAGACGAGAGTTTTTTCGTCATATACATAAGGAAAAGAGTTTTTTGCGTCAAATACATCTTTTTTTTCTTCATGGTGATTATTGTTCTTTTTAGGGTTCATCCTGTTCAGGAGTTATCCTTTTCAGGAATTATCCTTTTCAGGAACTACTCTATTCAGAATGAATCCTTTTCAGGAACTATCCCTCTCAGGAATTTTCCCTCTCATTGCGGCGCAGAAGAAGCATAATCTGGTTGCCATCATTGAGGCACAGAAGAAGGAAAAACAATCTGAAGGATGCTTCTTGAACAGAACTTTTACGAGTTTGGAAAGTAATTGCACCAAAAAAAATAGTTCAAACCGACCGACTACAAAATTCCTAGCAGCAAAAAACTTTTGATGCTCGAGAGTTCGATCAATCTAAACTTATAAATGTTGTATATTTCTCCATGTATTTTTATTTCAAAGACGTTTTTATTTTTTCGGATTATCAGCTTAGACAGTGAAATTTCAGGAAACACATATTTTTTTAATGACATTTCCATCTCTTTGCAAATTTTAAGTTTTTAAAAATATAGATAACATATTTCATTTTTTAAATTATGTTGGAACTTAATATAGTTCACTTCCTGCAATTCCTTCCCTTTGTATGGAAAAAAAGTAATTCATATTTCCTTTGAAAAGGGCCGCTTGTTTTTCTATAGCTGACCTTGTTGATCTTTTTGTCTTTTCATTACATTATATATATATATATATATTTAAATATATATAATGAAAATATGGGGATGTCTCAAAATGAGGTGTCCGTTTTTTCCCTTAAAGTAACCATTTTGGAACCAAAAACGGACACCTCATTTTGAGACATATCCATATTTGTTTTGAATTTAAGCATATATCTATAGAGAAAAAGGATCAACAATTATCAATTAATCATAAATTTTCTGAGGTGTCTAAGTTGCTCAAACTTTAAATATTCTCAAAAT